GCTGCAAGAACCGCAAGAAAGCGAGAGCAATGGCATGCTAAAAAAAATGAAGATATTCCTAGCATAGCGTCAAGAGGATGACGCCACCGCGTCCAATCTATCGAGAAAGCCCTTCCTGCGATGACGTCACAACGGTGTGATGACTAAGCCCCGCCCCCCACTTTAATGAGGATGTCTGTCGAGCAGGGCCTGGGCTTCACTCGATATAGGGAGGATAAAACTATCCAGTTTTCGTCGCAGCCTCTGCTGCACGTCGGAACTTGACAAAATTCAAACTCCTCGCATTCACAAAGTATTAACAACTAAGAAATTGGGAATGTTTCTTTCCCTCTCAACGCAGCTCCAGCTTATTTGAAGCAGAACCTCCCCGGGGTTGTGGAGAACACTCCACCTCTCTTTCACAAGATATTAATTTTGTTCCCTTTTTTTTCTGCCCTACCCGGGTAGGGCAGAAAAATACTCCTGGGAGGATTTCGGAAGAGACCAACCGTAAGAAAGATGTCATGACATGTCGATGATGAGAATTGTCAGTTTTGGTTGTTTGCGATGTTGTTAGCCAGATGCATGACTGCTTCGACCTTCGTATCAGTGCTCTAAATTTTGCTTTCTTCATTGTAATGATTTATATTTTTGCTTAATTCAGGGGATGAGATAAAACTGAAGCAGCTGTCGATCAATGTCGTGGGATCGAGATGTCTAAAACGGACATCATCATGGATTTTATGCCTCCGGGGGGCTTTCTCTCCACAGACCTAGTCGAGATGGTTCGGGGAGCTCCAGATAAGCCTACGTTTCATGTTCGAACTGAAAGGTTAAAAGATTTTTCATCTTTTCGTCATTGTGAGTTTTTTTTCCCAGGGAACAATACAACTTTGGCTGAAGAACGTGACTCCGGTCACCGATAACCTCCTTAGTCACGGAGAGAGAGGTTTTTCTGGATACCTTTTGATGCAAAGTACAGCAGTAATTCCATCCTGGATGTCCATGCTCCACTCACTTTGCACGGCCAATTTTGCACAATCAAGTACAATCATGAATTCGGCATACCTGACCGACTTCGAAGATAAACCACACTCGGTCCATGAATCAAGTTGAGTGAATCTGAGTGCGGAATCCATATCCATATAGGCATATTTTCAAAATGCATCAGTTACACTATGTACATCTTCAAGCAAAGCATTAATTATGATTAATGATGAAAAGAGCCGAATTCTTTGCATGTAGTATTCTATGTAGAAACGTGAGTTATAGAAAGACAATCGGAATAATGTAGTAATCTGACAGGCACTGAAGATGCACCACATGAATCACTTTAAGCAAACCTTAAATTAATGAGAACTGATCTATTCTAGAAATCTGTTCTACAGAGCTGATCACTTTCTGGGAGAACATGAAACGGGGAAATTATCGACAAAATATGAAGGTCTGACAGGCACTGAAGAGGCATCACACCCGGTAAATGCATCACTTTCAGCGAATCTACCATTAACGCACAAAAAGAGAACCTACCACTTACGCATCTGAGGTGAATCCTGCTTTTTGCTAAAGAAGTGTATCCTCTTATTTACAGCCAGAAATACGAATCATAACATGAATAGCGACAGAATGTAGAGATCTAAAAAACCTCACCTAAAGAGAAAGAGAGAAAGAAGAACCGCACCTAAAGAAGTCATTCCTGCATTTAATAGCCAGAAAAACGAATCGAACCATGAATATTAACAGAAAGGTAAGATGTTATGAGGAAGGAAGATGCATTCCGCACGGTACATACGAGGTGTGGCTATTAAGTTTCCAGACTTTATTTTTTAATTATGTATGTTAACTTACAAATTAATCACATTTATCGCCTTCAAAGTACTCCCCTCCAGAACGTATACACTTATCCCAACGATGCTGCAGTTGCTGAAAACAGCGGTGGAAGTCTTCTTTTGGGATGTCTTTCAGAGCCTGCATCACATTTGTTTGAATGTCTTCAATGCTTTGAAATCGGTGGCCTTTCAAAAAATTTTTGAGTTTGGGAAACAGCCAAAAGTCACTGGGGGCTAAATCGGGCGAATACGGCGGGTGATCCATTTCAGTGATCCGTTTGGCGACCAAAAACTCTCGGACAGACAAGTCTGTGACCCGGCGCGTTATCGTGATGCAAGATCCATGAGTTCTCCTTCCACAGATCGCCCCTTTTCCTCCTCACAGCCTCACGCAACCTCTTCAAAACGTTCTGGTACAACATCTGGTTGACTGTTTGTCCTTCTGGCACGAATTCGGAGTGGACGATTCCGTTGGCATAAAAAAACAAATCAGCATCGTCTTGATTTTCGACTTCGACATTCGGGCTTTTTTCTTTCTCGGTGAATTTGCAGTTCTCCATTCAAGGGATTGACGTTTCGTTTCCGGATCATATTGATAACACCATGTCTCATCTCCAGTGATGATTCTTTCCAAAATATTTCCTTCTCCAGCTCTTTCTGAGAGATCCAAACAAACGTCCAATCGCCTTTGTTTTTGTTCAGCTGTCAGCAACCGAGGCACCATTTTCGCTGTCACCTTTCTCATGTTCAAATCGTCCTTCAAAATCCGTCGAACAGTTTCTTTATCTAAATTCAACTCTTCCGCTATCATTCTAATTGTCAACCGTCTGTCTGAACGCACTAAATCCGTAACTTTTGAGACATTTTCAGGTGTTCGTTTGGTGATTGGCGCTCCACAACGCTGGTCGTCATTGACGTCTTCTCTTCCCTCTTTAAACCTTTTAAGCCACAAAAAACTTGCGCTCTTGCCATGGTATGATGACCATAAACTTTTCTTAACATTTCGAGCGTTTCAGTTGCGGATTTCCCCAGTTTAACACAAAATTTGACGTTAGTTCTCTGCTCGAGATTACGCTCCATTTCAAATCCGCCAGCGCACACAAATACGGTCTACCTTAACGGGTCGCAGCTCGCAGCGCAATGGTCAGACCACATTGAAACTTGCCCGGTTATAAGCTAAGGCTCCCCTCCATGTTACTGTCATAGCCCCACTCCCCTCCTCTCTCTCAAAGTTCAGTAATAAAACCAGTCTGGAAACATAATAGCCACACCTCGTACATCACTTTGAGCGAAACTACCTCCAACGCACCTAAAGAAGTACTGTATAGACTGCTGTTTTTCAGCCAGAAAAACGAATCATATCCGGCATGTCGACAGAATGCTAAGATCTAATAAGAAGCATTACGCACGGTTCATGCATCACTTTGAGCGAAACTACCACTCATGCATAAAAGAGTTGAATCCAGCGTTTAATTGCCAGAAATACGAATCAAAGCATGAAAAACGACAGAATGCTGAGATTTGATCAACTTCGAAAAGCATCACACTCGGTTCATCCATCACTTTTGGCGAGACAACCACTAACGCATCTAAATGCATTTAATAGGTAGAAACAAAAATCATTGCATGAATATCGAAAGAATGTTGACACGTATTAAGTAAAGAAGATGCTTCACACATGGAAATGCACCACAATAGGCAAAAACCTATTAACGCACCTAATGAGGTGAATCCTGCTTTTTAAAGTAAAACATACGAATCAAAGCATGAATGGCGACAGAATGTAGAAATCTGATTAGCAATAAAGATGCATCACACCCGGTACCTGCATCACTTCTGGTGAGACTAACGCATCATAAGAGTTGATTCCTGCATTTAATGGGCAGAAACACTAATCAGTGCATGAAAAGTGACAAAGTGCTGAGATCCAAGTAGCAATGAAGATGCATCAAACTCTGTAACTCCATCACTTAGAGCGAAACTACCTCTAACGCACCTAAAGAAGAAAAAACTGCTGTTTTTCGGCCAGAAATACATATCATACCCTGCATACCGAGCAATCGTTGAGATCTAATTTACATCCATTACTTTGAGCGGTTCTACCATTAATGCACCTAAAGAGGTAAATAAAGCTTTTCAGCCAGAAATACGAATCATACACGGCATATCGACAGAATGCTAAGATCTAATAAGGAATGAAGAAGCATTACGCACGGTTCATGCATCACTTTGAGCGAAACTACCACCCACTTAGCAAAAATGGTTGAATCCAGCTTTTTATTGCCAGAAATACGAATCAAAGCATGAATATCGACAGAATGCTGAGATCTGATCAACTTCGAAGAGCATCACACTCGGTACATCCATCACGATAAGCGAAACTACAACTAACGCAGCTAAAGAGTTGAATCCAGCGTTTTATAGCCAGACATACAAAACATAGCATGAAAAGCAACAGAATGTAGAGATCTGACTGATTTCGAAGATGCATCACACCCGGTACTTACATCACTTCTGGTGAGACTAACGCATTTTAAGAGTTGATTCCTGCATTTAATAGGCAGAAACACAAAACAGAGCATGGAAAGCCACAAAACACTGAGATCCAAGATCCGTTCACTTCAGGGCCAGTGAAGCCTATGGATTTCCATAATGCCAATATAGGGGCTGATTAGGTGCCAATGAAGCAGTTTTTAATCAACGTTGCAAACTGAAACGTTTCTGCAACGTATGTTGAATGTAAGGATTTGCAACGTAAATGCAATGTTCCTTCGCAACATATGAGGAATGTTGACGTTTTGGACGTTAATACATAGAAGCAACATTGTTCATCAACATTTCCTAAACGATGCTGGAATATCTTGCGCGAAAACGATTTGCAACGTAAATGCAACGAAACTACCACTAACCAGCGTTTCCTTGCCAGAAATACGAATCAAAGCATGTATAGGGACAAAATGTAGTAAGTAATGTAGTAATCACACTCGGTAAATCCATTACTGAAACTGAAACTGAAGCGAAACTACCTCTAACGCACCTAAAGAAGTAAATTCTGCTGTTTTTCTGCCAGAAATACGAATTATATCTGTGCATACCAACAGAATTATGAGATCTAAAATGCATCCATCACTTAGAGCGAAACTACCATTTACGTAACTAAAGAGGTGCTGCTTTTTGAAGCCAGGAACACAAAACATTGCATGAATACCGACAGAATGTAAAGATCTGATTAACAATAAAGATGCATCACAACCGACACTTGCATCACTTTTGGTAAGACTACCAATAACATCCAAAGAGGTGATTTCTGCGTTTAATAGGCAGAAACACAAATCATAGTATGAATATCGAATGTTCACATGTAGTAAGCAAACAAGATGCATCACACCCGGTACGTGCACCACAATAGGCGAAACCTATTAACGCACCTAATAAGGTGAATCTTACTTTTTAAAGTAAAAAATACGAATCATAGCATGCAAAACGACAGAATGTAGAGATCTGATTGACTTTGAAGATGCATCACACTTGGTACATGCATCACTTTTGATGAAGATGCATTCCGCACGATACATGCATCACTTTGAGCGAAACTACCTCTAACGCACCTAAAGAAGTAAATCCTGCTGTTTTTCAGCCAGAAATACGAATCATACCCTGCATACCGACTGATTGTTGATAACTATTATGCATCCATCACTTTAGATGCATTAATGGTAGATTCACTCAAAGAGGTGAATTCTGCTTTTTAAAGCCAGAAACACAAATCATAACATGACCATCGACAGAATGTACAGATCTAATAAGTGACGATGCACCCGGTACATCCATCACAATAAGCGAAACTAACGAACAAAACAGTAGAATCCATGTTTTTTTTCAGGAAGG